CACTTTACAACTATTATAATGGATGTTATGATGAGTTGATGACATGTGGACTGCAATGCATTTCATTGTAGACGTGATATCATGTCATAAACTGAAATAAGTCTGAATGGGATTTAGTGAGTGTCTATCATTCATCTGATAGCTCTGTGTTAGACAATAATAAAAGTTATATATAAAGACTATCTCTAACAAAGAACCTCATGTACTGACTATACTATAGAAGACATGGATTAGTTGACACAAATATTACAGTTTCATAAGTATCACAAGTTTTCAATCAATGATATTATTATTTTTTTAGACATCTCTTTGTTTTCCATATAATAACATCAAATATAAGCAAATACTTTTGGGAATTAATATTTGATTATATTTTACTAAAAATCTTTTGGGATATTTTTCTCATAGTATATACACTAATTGAAGTTTTATAGATTTTTCAGTAAATACCTTATAAAAATATCAAACAACTAAATATAGGTTTATTTTATCTCTAAATTTCATATATAAACAATGAATAATATTTTGCTTATGAAAAGAGTTTATGATTTCATATAAGTTTTTTGACAGTGACTTATATGGCAGACCACAGCCAACTAATCTCTATTATTAAAGTCACATATTTTTTGAGCAAAAATATTAAAGTTTTTAGATATCCTTTTAAAAATATAAATCATTTTCAGTCAAAATATGACCAAAAATATCATATAAACGATTATTCCATTAACTATAAGTAAAATTTTTGTATCAAATATATAACTGAATTGAAAGTAAAATGATTTATTGCTTTTGTGAATTTAGATTTAAAATTGATTTTTTTTGTCCAAAAATAGTTATATGTTGCGGTCATTTACAATGATTTTTAGATTTTTACTGCAAAAATCAAATTAAAATACATTATTTATTAAAGTATAAAATATTGATAACTATTGATAATTAGTTTATCATAGTTTTTATAAGTTTGTTTTACAAGATAAATTAAGTGTTTAAATATATTAAATATCAATCTAAATACAGTAATACAAATTTTATAATACAAAATCTATGATATAATGATTATTATCAAAATTGTGTATATCTTTAATATTTAAGTATTAATTATATAATATTTGTTAATTTATACATTATCTATAATATATTTTATGTTTTATAATAGAAATCGATTGCAAAAAACTTCATAAATGTTTCAATAATTCTTGATTTTTATAAAGAAATAAAAAATAATTATATCAAATATAAATACAACTCTAATTTTTATGGATAGATAGTTTTGAACAGTCATTGAAATTAAATTTTATAAAATTAAATTGCATATATAAACCAATACAAATTAAATGAGTGAGTATGAGTCTATCTAACTCATTGTTTAATACTTTTTCAAAATTAATATATTATAAAATATATGTTGAATTTTTTATGTTATATAAATTTATATTAATATAAATATATAATCAAAAATTCATTATGATATCACTTATTTTCAATGACTGGTTTTAAATAATTAGTTTAATTAATATATAAAAATGTGGTCTAATATGCTACCAAATTGGGAGTCCCAATAATAATCTTTAGTACATACATGTATATATCAAATATTAGCACAAAAATATTATAAATGTGTGTAAAATGATATTTTAGAAATATTAAAAACAAGTTTAGTATTAAATTATTTAAGAAATTGTCCAGTTAACCTATTAAAATTTATAGCTTAATGATGAAAATTATAAAAATGATAAACAATATTAAAATTTAATATCTTATAAGTTATAACATTAAATCATATTTTAAAATGTTTTGTATATTATAAATTTAGTTACAAATACAACACTCGCTCACTAGATATATATAGAGTTATTGTTGCAGATTGTGTTCAATGTCTTAAAATTTGCCGGATTTGCACAAAACTAAAGTTTCTAAATAAAACTATTGAATATATTAACGTATTTATTCTACAAAACAAAATTTTACTGTTTTTATTTAAGATTTAGTATAAACTAGATTTATAATACATATTTTAAACAATAATATTGAGTTATCATTTTTAAAATATGTATTTCCTGTTATTACTTCAATATATATTCAATATATATTCAATATATATTGACATTTAACTCAAAAAACTGAATTTCATTAATAATATTTATAAACTCTAAAAATATATTATTTATTTTCTATTAACACTTTGTATTAACTTTGTTATTGTATAATAGTTATATAAAATTTTAATTAAATTTTATGATTTTAAAGATATTTAAGAATATTAAAACTAAATTCCAAATTTTGTGTTCACTTTATGAATCGATTTAAAATAAACTAAAATCACAATTTTTATGATTATTTTTTAATATAATATTAGACTTTATTACTAATTTAATATTTAAAATATTAGTGATTTTTGTTATTAAAGTCATAAAATAAATAACAAAATATCTGAGAAGCAGTGATGGGTATAATAAATGTTATGACATTTGGTTCAGTGATATATGTGTAAAGCATTTGGAAATCTTATATCATTTTTTGGGGAAAAGACTACTGAGTTATAGTTGAGTTCCGGTTTGTTTAGTGTAACGACAGACGGAAATCACTATGACTTTAGTCCCAATAAGTGGTGACAGAAAAATCATCAAATATTATATGTTTGCCTTCAATAAGACAAACAATTATTAATGCCATCAATAAACAAACAAATCGTCAGTCATATCATATCCTAATTAATGATATTAATTTATTATCATTATTATTATTATAAACTTTTCAATTATAAAAAATACATCTAATTTAGTTTCATTAAAAAAGTGAGATTTAAAATAAGGCAAAAGTAATTTATTGTAATCAAGTATCTAATGACCAAAACTCTTATTTTATAATAATAACAATACATTATTATAACTCATAAACTTCGCAAAAATTCTCATTAAAATTATTGCCCCAAAAACCCATCAAAAGTAATGCTTTCAAAAGCTTTAAATTAATAGTATCTCTGGGGTATAAACGCTTTAAGCATTGTAGGATAGTATAGTGAAAAAAAGTAAAAATATAAAAAATAATAAATAGTAATAATAATAATAATATAGTATTTTGTTGTATCAAAAATGAAGAAAAGAGGAAATGAGTAAAATTGCTGTAAAAATATGTTAGTATTGAATGTATTGGTTTGAGTGTCAAGACTTAGGATTAGATGCCGTCAACAGTGACTCAAAACACATATTATTTGGCGATTGCTTTAATCTTTTTGGGTAATGAGTCCTATATTTCATATTTCAGATGCAATTTCTCTCTCTCTCTCTCTCTCTCTCTCTCCTCATTAACAGTTGATGAGTATTAACTCTAAACTTCATATACATCTATAATAACACTGTTTGCGACGTTTGGATAATAGTGTAGTTTTGTTAGTGTTTGATGTCCTGACCTTTGGTTGCTTTAGTATAAGACAGTGAGTCGTGAATTGAAAACACGTCCATCTCTTTACTCTTTATTTCATTCAAACGACTTAATTCTGTGATCACGTCTTTAAATACCAAAATAATTGTTAACATTTGAAATGAAAACAAATAATAGAGAAAGCAATCAAAAGGAAAGGCCATCAATTGCTGATCCCTTCTCACGCCATCATAGTCTACAGTAATGGTTAATATAGCAAATAGGGTTGAAAAATACAAGGTTTTGAATTTTGGCTTTATACTGTACATTGTATTACATTGTATTACACTGTATTATACATTTTTAAAAACTAATATATATTATGTTTAAAAATTTATAAAAATTATTTAATGACAATATAATTGTTAGAAAACTAATTATTTTTATATTAATAATTGTTTTCTAAGAATAAAAATAAAATAAATTTAAAAAAAATTAAAATAAAATTAAAAATATCATATTTATTATAAAACATGTGTATTTTTGCTTATATCAATGAGTTTAATACTAGGTAATTTTTAATTTTGTTTTGTATGGCAATATTAGTCAAGTATTATACATTGTATTATACAAACATTTTGTCTCTGCCAACACTAATAGCAACACATCTACAGTACAGTACATCTGTAATATACCATTTATGGCATTGATATCAATATCATAACCATTATTATTAAGCTTCATATTGATGTTGAATGTTGAGAGGCAACAAACTCTTTCAAAATGATTATACTGTTATATAATACTGAAAAGTAATAATAACTTATATAATATTACAGAATTAGCCAATTGGCTATTAAAAGAGCACCGGTAGATCTCTATACCCATAGATTACTTATTTTGATATATTGATATCATTTTTATAATATATATATATACTGTATATAACTATGTATACACTATAACTTATTATTATCAATGTATTATTGTGTGTGTTTTGCGTTAGTATTAGCTAATAGTTCATCGATTAGAAATTAATGGGGTTTTAGATCAACAACATTCATGTGATAGAAGTTATCATTAAAATCATTAAATTTTCTCATAAAAATGAGACAAATATTTTATTTTTCATAAATATCCCAATAATCAAATTACAAATCAAAATAGCCTTAAAAACTAAATTATAAAATAAATATCAAAATAATGTAAACACTTATAAACATATATTGTTTATTAATATAGGAATAAATTCTACGAATAAAATACATTTTTATAAATCAGACAAAACTTTAATGAATTTGATTTATAATGTATGTTATGTTATATTTGGTGTTATATTAAACGAAATGTTTATATTATACAGTATTTGTATTAATATCTTTTATTTATTATTTTTAATATAAAATAATACCGGAGATAATTACAAAAGACTAATTTTGACAGACAAAATAAATTATAAAGTTTAACACATTAATACTGTATCTAATTATGTTATCATTTCTGGTGTATAATTATTAATTATAATATTAATATTCAAATTAAAGGAAATAATTTATTTTCGATTCAAATTTAAAATTTATGAATTTGTAATTTACAATAAAAAAATAAAAATTAATACAATAAATACATTTTTTGAGTTATTTGCAGAATTAGAATAAGATTTTTAGATGTGAACAACACTTGAAATTATTAATTAAAGTGTGAATCAGTTAATCAAATGTGGACTCAATTAGAAAACACAAGAGCGCCGGCCATTGGACTTCGGGTTCAAATTGGCGTTTAGTTTAGAGTCATATATTTTCTCCTTTTGAAGAGCAATGCGCTGACTGGTAGAGTGGGCTTCATATTTGAGTTGTTTTTCAAAACCAGTTCTCACTTTAAGTATTTCACCGATTTTTAAATTAGCCACCGATTTGTTGGCGTTAGCCGTCCACACGGATATACGATCCTCTTTAGACCGAATGTTGACAACAGCGCCGCAGATCTCTTCATTAAATTCATTAAAACCTTCACCTATAAGACAGAGCAACACTTCGAGCCAAATATCATCCAAATGTGGATCAATCTGTCGATTGGATGCTTTGACAAACTCCATACTCCATTTGCCGCCATTTATGTTATGGCTGTCCTCCCACATCGGCTCTATTCCCTCTTTAAACACACAGTAATCACTGGGAGGTGCTGTTGACAATCAAAACATTTATTATACATTCAATTCTTGTCAATCATTAAATTTCAATCAATTACTCAATTGCTTGACACTAATGATGTGATGATATAAACACCAAAAGTCTTCAATAGTATGAAATGGTTTGCAGACGCGTTGCAAAGCTTGACGCCAAACAACTTTGACACCGGGATCTGCTCTCCAGAACCACAATTGCCAATGATTTCGCAACGGATGTCTTTTATCAGCTAAACGAGTGGCCAATGATTTACTTATTTCACTGTTCATCACTTTGGCCACAGGATCGGTCACTTCTGGCAACTGGTCGCTAACCAATTGGTTGGCCGATTGAGCGCCCATTTCTTGCGAGTCAATGATGGCATTGTGTCGATGCTCTTCATCGGTATTGTCAGCAGTGGTTACACACTTGTGTTCGTCGGCATCAATGTTGAGATCGTCTTTAGTATCGTCGATGTGATCGATGTCATCATTGGACTCAATGTTGAGTGACTCGAGAGCCGTCTTAACGGTGGTCTCCAAGTGTTGCATCACTTGTTCATAGCTGTTGTGAATACAATCCATTGTAATGATTGTGAAGTCGTTGTCGTTGTTGTTGTTGTTGTTGTCTTCAAAGTGATTGCAATCTTAAGTGACAACAGTTTTGACAATCGAATCAATACTACAATCAATTAATTCAAACAAATATCGCGTGAATTGCTTTCCATTCAATTCATTCATATTTCTTGTCATACATTGTTAACAAGTGATTACATAACAAACTATCAGTCGATGACTGGATATCACCATTCAATGGTCACAATCGGGTTATCACTACAATAATCATTTGTCAATGACTTCAATCATACCAATCATTCATCTGATCGTCATTTGGACACAACATGAGATCAATTGAATGACAAAACCAAACCATTTATATTATCCTTAGTAACCAATGATAACCATTTGTCACGTATTGAATAACATTGATATCAATGACTAAACAATTAGTTAATAAATTGTAATATATTTAGACATTTGTCTAATGAATGTCAAACACATTATAGACTGTAATGTTGTTTGCGATTAATCATTAATTTTTGTTAACAATTGTACAGTCAGTTCATTGGTTGACAAATGTTATGACAAACGTATAGAACATTTGAAAACATTTGAAAGCATTGATACAAATCATAAACTTTTCAATACTTTTACCAAATTTTGTAGACTTATTGACGAAGAAGTGATTTACAAGAAATTATGGCTAAAAAATATAGGAAAAAGACGTCGACCAACAAAGTGGTGGTTCCCGTCCAACATGTCATCCAATCAAACAGTCCAGTCCTACCAAAATGCCCGTCCAGTCATCAAAATGACTGCCATATGGAAACCAATATTGAATCGACCGATTGGGCCGACTCTATGGAGGACTGCTTTGAAGGTATAATAGGTATTGGTCTGAATGGACACACAAATGATTTGTTAAATACTGTATATTCATTAGAAGAATTGAAATTAATTCAAAGTCAAAGATTATTAGAAAAGATGACAATTCAGGAAAAGACAGACTCGAGTCACACCATTGATGAACTTATCTGTAATTCTATTCCTCCGATTAGTATTGATAACTCCGGTCAAAGTCATTCAAAGCCAAACAAATCACTTCATGTGAGAGATGAACAAAGATATGGTGCAAGAAATGGATTTAATGATAAACTTATTTCACATTCAAGTAGTCGTTCAAGAGATGAATTTAAATTTAGGGATAGAGAGTGGACCAGTAGATCAAGAGACTGGCACTTTGCACCTAATGTTAGAGGACGTCAATCAAACAAACGATATAATAGTCCTCAAAGGCGTCCCACGAGTCCTTGTAATGTTGGCCGTCCATTGGAGAGACCAGTAATAAAGTTATTACCGCGAACTGAATCCATCAATGATAATGGAAATACCAAAAGAGACACTAAAATATTTGGTGAGGGAAAACCTGTGGACACGAGAGCGCGTGAAATGCAAATTGAAAAGAAAATGCGGGAAAATAACCGATCGGCCGGAAAGAAATCTTACAATAGACGGCCTAATAGTGATTCAACACATCTTAGGACCGATTCATCACCCGATCGACAGAGACATGACTCTGGATTTATGTCACCTATTTCTCAATCTTCACATTTTGACGACAATATTGTCAAATAAAATGAACATTAGATTCCAACAAATGCTAAAAAAATAGCAATTCTTCAATTGAATTGCAAGTTTCAAGTGATTAATGTTAAAGATAATGACATTTATTATTATAATTTTAATATTTTTTCGGCAAAACTTGGTTATCCTGCATTCCATCGGTTTTCACGCGCGTTTTGAAACATGCATTACATGTGTGGGGGTGTGTGGTGTGGGAAAAGGTTATACCGTAAGATAGTTTTTAATTACCGGTAATTGTATTGTTTTAATATCGCTTAAACTATGAAAAACCCGATCAAACTATAAAAACAGATAACTGTATAAGAGTTGCATTTTTCTTAATAGCCATTTTGTAATAATTTGTATAGATTTGCTTAAACGATATCATTATTATGAATTTGAATTAATTAGACTATAATATACTGGTAATACTTTAAGTGATTTCAATCAAAGATAATTTGTTATTTATTTTTAAAATATTACAGTTAGTAGATCTCAATTTGATTAATTTTTTATAATAATAATGTTTTCAAAAAAAATAATATTCTAAACTAATATAAATATTTAACATACTTAAAAAATAATAATAATAGTTTAAATATAAGTTACATTTTATATTTTGATTATCGTATAATATTACACTAATGTACTGTACATTGGATTTGTTTAAATATGCCTTTTAATGTCATTTATTATAGAGTATTGCATTTATTTAGTGTTTATTTATATTTAATGGATTTCATTGATTGACAACTTTTCCATTTGGAAAGTAAAGTAGTCTTTCATTTTTTTAAGAGAAATCTTGTATTTGTGATAACTGTTGAAATACAAAGAATGCATTGATATGTCATAAATCACACAACAGTTGATGGCTTGAAGTTATTTCTGCCATCCATTGAGTGGCAATCCATCAAATAATTGCTTTTATGTGTAACTCTATTGTTAATAACCCCTTCTTTAAGACAAATCTTGTTATCGAAACATTGTTTAATATATCAATAATTGTATCGCTCTTTAACCCAAATAAAAGTTCTTACATTAACTTTTGCAATACTTTAATATGTTTGTTGTTTAGTGTAATACAATAGTTAATTATAAAAATTTAATTACTTTGTTTAAAAAAATGTAACATAAAATTATTGAAACTATGTTTTATATTTGATGTAATTTGCTTTTCATGTTATTAATTTTGAATAAACTTTTTCAAGTTATTACGAATAAAATTATTTTAAATCTCAATGATATATAATGTACTTAATGTGAATTTTGAACAGGTTTTACAATTCATGTTTAGTAATATATTTTGTTGAAAATTGAAGAAAATGTTGACTAAAATTGCCAAAAATATAGTGATCTATAGTTTGATACATTATTTTAGTTATTTCAGTCAATTAGATTTTATATTTTCAGTTTTCATTTGTAATTTTTGGAAATGTTATACATTTTGACATACAGTGTATTATACTTATATAACGAGAGTAGGCATTCACTCAAATATACAGCAATCGCTTATTGACTGTTATTTCCACTATTTTTTTAGTCTTTCATAAAATACATAAACTTCTAAAATCAGTATTTTATATTTCTTGAGATTCAAACTGTTAAGTCATAGCGATATGTATTTCAAAATAAATTTATTTTTTATTTATTTTTTGGACCAAAATCATAAAAACTTTGATCACTTTTAGTGAAAAACATGTAAGACATTGAAATACTAGTGTATTACAAATCAAAAGTCGAAATATATATATATATATATATATATATAAAGATGTGTTATATTAAACCAAATCTGAAACCAATTCAATTGCATTGACTTTGCTATCATTGAGATTCCAGTTCAGCGCTCAGACATCTCTCGACATATTTTTCCACAATTTTTATGTTTACTTTGTCTCCAACGACATGACTTTTTTTGCTGTTTTTAAAGAATTTTTTGTTATTATGTTTTTAATATCAAGTTTTTTTACCGATACTAATATTTTTTGGTACAGAATATATGATATATAATACATTTCAACAATAACAACAACAAACCATTATCAGCAACACATTTACAGTACAAGAAAAATATAAGCAAATAATTTTTACTTAAAATTTTTATAAAAGTTGTTTTGTCAAGAATTTATTTTTTATTGCAAATTCTTTAAGGAATTCATATATATTTTATCCATAGGTATAAACTTTTAAAATGTTATTTTTTAAGAGCAAAGAAAACACTTAAACATTGAATTTTATAAATATTTATTCAATTATAGTTAATATTTTTTAAACTGAACTTTGAAGTTTTTTTCATAACTTTTTTTTTAAAAAAGCTAAATATCAAAATCAACAACAAATCTGTTACAAAAATAATAGTTTTGTATTTTAAATACAATAACAAAATACTTATTAAATTTACAAAATTTTAGGAAAAAACAAAGTATTTTAAAATCTTAGGCAAAGTTTTAGTTTAAAAATAAAAAATACAACTTTTATTACTAATTTATTAAACTTTAGGATATTTATAATATTTTAAAGATTTAACATTATTTTTGTTGTCAGTGTTTTCAAACTAAGAAATTAATTATCAGTTGAAAAGATTTTTGCAATTAATATTTTGCTGAGTATTAAAAAAATACTATATTTATATTAATAGCAATAATTATTAATATTTTACATTTTAAGAGTTAATATTAAATGATTTTTTGTTGAAAAAACAATACGTAAAATTAGATTAAAATCTATACTTAATATAACATATTTTGCAATTATTTTATTACTAAAGAATTAATAAAAAACATTTTTCAATTACATGAATAATTGTTCAAAATAACAAAATTATAAAATATAAATATATGATTGTTAATAAAAGTGATATAATTAATATTACAAATTAATCATTAAATAATGTCAAAATTGTTTAGTGAAAGCGTTATTAATAATAACTATTTGTTTGAAAGTTGTATTTCTTGGCTAACAAAGTGTCAATAATAGCCGATTTATGTACGACTCGTTTGAATCTTCATATGAGGCGATCATTGGTATTGATTTGTTGTCTAAAGTGATAACCACTGCCAATAGGACAACAATACTTAAATTGTTGGATACAACCGGTCAGTAAAGGTTTAGTTGTCTCATTCATATCACTGATTTATTGTAACAATTTATATAATAAAAATAGTTTAAAACATTTAGAAATAATATTTAAAGATTTAATATTGTTTTTCCTAAAGAATGTTTCACTCGTATAAAACCAATAGTTTTTTTTGTTATAAATTTTTTAATAGGATTGAATTGATTTGAGATATTTTAGTGAGATTTTGATAATAAAATTTAAATCATTTCTAAATCTATAATAAATAATAATAAATATATATATAAATATATATATAAATAATAAATAATAAATAATGTAATTTAATGTACGTATAACCAATTAAAACTATATTTTTATAAATAAAAAATACTATAATTTATAAAATGTTATAAATATCTTTTAGTTACAAATATGTATTTAAGAAAATATCATAGTTTTCATCGTCCGATCGTTCAAATTGAAAACTGGTTTACGACCGCAGATCTCGTACCGCAGTTTACCATTGCTGACCACAGTTAAGGCATTACCGAAGAATATATAGAAGATATGAGATACTGATTGTAATGATTGTCAATAAGACTTACCTCAATGACAAACCTCAAGTCTATACCAACGATGGTCTGAAAAACTCAACAATTATTGTATTATATATACCTTTTGCTTAGTTATGATATAATATTAAAAGTTATAACTTATATGTAATTATAATTAAGATTATAAACTCATTTACATTATATTTAATCATTACATCGTATTATTAGTTATTTGGTTAATATTATTCTCTATAATTATAATATTAAATATTAATTATGATTGTGTTTAATATGTTAATTAATTAATTGTATTAAATATTATTAAATACTATTAAATACTTTATGTTAACAATACTTATGTATTATATTCAATAAAATTGAGCTATTAATGAGTCTAAACATAAACACATGAATAATATCTACATTAATAGCGTAACATATAATAAGTGCATTGATTTTGAGCTATAATTGCATTCATACGGATGTCTCTCTGAGATCCGGTAAATATGTTGCCATAAACTTAATACCCAGTGGTAAGTGAACCCCGAGAGGGTCACACAGAAATTAAGTGACACCCGGAATGTGTCCTATTAAGCAAACCTTTCATAAATTGCACGTTAAACTGGCTTAAGTGGTATCCATTAAATTGACGTCACCTTATTATCGGATTGTGTTAACGGGACACCACTAGTCTATTAATCCCATTTCAATTTTTTCAATTTTTTCAATTTTTTCAATAATCAATATATTAATTTCTATATAAATTTATTAATATATAAAAAATATTATTTCGTTTAAATATTATTAAATAATTAAACGATAAATATTTTTTTTAATATTAACGTTAACCAGTTGAGAATGCTAGAAAGCATTACCATTCGAACTCCCAATCATAATTAAAAATTAAATTCAGTATGATAAAATAAAATCAACTATAGTCATGTGGGGTATCAAATGATTCATTATTACAAAATAAACTACTATTTTCTACATTTTCCTGAAAAATGAACTTAAAAAAGAAAAAAATTTTAAAAAATAAAAAAAAATCAAATTTTTTATTACTTTTTAGACACCATTTTCTTCAATTTCCTAAAAAATAAACTTTAAAAAATAACAAAAAAATGTGTTGCTGAGCGTGGATTCGAACCTATGTCCTCGTGGGACAGACAGACCGACTTATAGAATGCATATACATATTTCCTTTCAGGTGTGCGTTGCACAAAACATCGTACGCACACTTTCGTACGCTGCGATAAAATATGCATTTCACAACAAGTCGTAAATGCATTTCGCAACTTACGGTTACGACAACCGTAAGTAATGTTATTGTTATAAATGCGCATGTGTACGACTTTTTCACGTCAAACACATTTCACGTACAATAACATTACATATCGTACGCTTAAAATTTACACCTTATAGATGATAGGCGTAAGTATTATTATTAAAATTATTATTAAAATTATTATTAAAATTATTACGACAGAACCAAACATATGACATGTCTTGGTACATAACACTAC